CAACTAAAAACACTGTCAAACAATAAATATGTCAATTCAAGGATTGATAGTGTGAACCTCTAATTTATCATTTGTTACACTTTCATTTTGGTTAATGATTAAATACTGCCTTAGTTCTTCCAGTTATCCTCTTCATACTGGTATGTTCTATCTCTCAAAGAGACTTCAAAAACAAGGAGCAAAGAATCATGTTATATTTCTTTTTTATCTCTTTTAATGCCTTGGATTGACAGACCTAAGGTAAGTTACTCAATACTTGGAATCATAAAAGCTCATAATTTAAAAAGACCTTAAAAAGCCAGCCTACCTTTATCATTTTATACATTTTATAGAGAAAAAAAAAAAACTTATGTCTAAGAAGGGTAAGAAAGTTATCCAGTTGCTGCAGGGCAAGCAAGGACTTAATGAAACAGATAAAAACAAATGGAAAGACACAATTGTGAGCTTTACGATAAAAACAAAAAATGTCCACTAGAGGGAACCAACAGTCCATTAATTTGAAATAGTTGCAAAAAGTTTTCAAAAAACCACGAGGTATTAAGAGAATTTTTTCCCAGAGTAAAGAAAATAATGAAGAGTCATACCTCAAACAATATAAATTCAGATTTCTTTTGCTAGAGATACAAATAGAGATTTTTCAAATCTCCAGCATTAAAAAAGAAAAGTATTAGATTTAAATAATTTATATGCACAGTTCTATTAATTTAAAACATTTATATAACCAGCACAATCAAAAATAGAACAGTTTCCTTATTCAAAAAAAATGTCTCCTTCTAGCTCTGTCTTAAGTTTTCCCCCTAGCCCCTAATACATTTCATGTGCATATACAATGTTTATCCATTTACCCACTGAAGAACATTGCAGTTGTTTTCAGCTACTGGCAATTAATGACAGCTGCTATAAATATTAACATGCAAGTTCTCTTTTCTCTAGGGCAAATATCCAAAAGCAGGAATGGAGAGAATAGGCTAAGCGTAACTTCAAAAGAACTCCCCAACCCTCCAGAAAAAAAATCCTGTCAAATAATTTTCTGAAGAGTCAACCAATTGAGACTTTTCACCGAATAGAAGACACATTCTCACTAGTTCTTAATATAATCATTATTTATATTTTAGCCATTCTAATAGCTAAGCAGAGTTTTAATAGCATGTCCCTAAAGCTAAGATGCTAAACACTTTTTCAGGTGCTTATTTGCTATCTATATCTTTATATTTAATGAAATTCTATTCAAATCTTCATTTTTTTCATTGAATTGTTTAATTGGATTGCTAAGTTTTTATATGTTCTACATATGTACATACATATACATTAAAGTACTGAGTATACACCATTATAAATAAACAACTGTAAATGCCACATTAAGTTTAACACCGAAAGTCTAATTCTCTCCTTCATCCCTTTCACCTGGTCCCTTTCACCTAATTTATACCCTGTCCTTCTGGTAAGCTCTAAGTCTTTAAGCTTTCCAAGTCTAGAAGTTTACTTTTGCTTTATTTAGTTCATTTATTTGTTTTGTTCTTTCTGTGCCACATATGAGGGAAATTGTTTTTCTGTCTGACTTTTTTCACCAAGCATAAATTGCTCTATGTCCTTTCATGCTGTTGCATATAACAGGATTTCATCTTTGTATGTCTTTAATATCAGTCTATTGTCACATGTATGGTTTGCAAGTATTTGCTCCCATTCTGTAGCTACTCATCTTATCCTCTGTCTTAATAGTATCTTTTTTTATTTTAAGATTTATTTATTGGGCTCTCCCTGGTGGCACAATGGGTTAAAGCTCTCCTAAGCCACTGCAGCATGAGTTCGATCCCCCCATCAGGGAGCTGACCCACATGGCGTGGCAGACATCTGACCTGCCTGCTGTTCGCCTCAGCAGTATATTTCAGTACATCTGCCTGTTCTGCTCCCCACTCTGTCTCTGGTGAATCCTCTCACCCACCACACCTCTTTTTTTTTTTTTAAAGATTTATTTATTTATGCTTACAGAACTGGGGTACAAGCAAGAGGCACAGGGGCAGTGAGAGGATTTACCAGAGATAAAGTGGGGAGTAGAACAGGCAGATCAACAAAGTACACTGCTATGGTAAGCAGCAGAGCGACAGCAGAGATCCACATGCACCATGTGGATCACCTCCAGGGCCAGGGATCGAACTCACACTAAAGTAACTGCAGCCAGCTTGCAGTGCTGAGTCCTAACCCGTTGTGCAGGGAGGGCTCTTAATAGTGACTTTCACAAAGCAAAAGTTTTTAATTTTGATGAAATCCAATTTTATTACTTTTTTTTCTTTTATGAATCATACTCTTGTTATCATGTCTACGAGCTCTTTGATTAACCACAGGTCATAAAGATTCTTTTCATTTTTCTAAAACTTATATGGCTTAAATCTAAGATTCACTTTGAATTAATTCTTGTATAAAGTAGAGACTTAGGTTGAAGTTAATTTTTTTGCCTACATATGGACAGACCATTTCAAGGTCATTTGCTGATAGATAAGTATTTAAACTGATGGGCCTTACCTCTTTTATGAATTTCCTGAAGAAGGCAGATTATGATTTAACATGTGTTACATATGACTGACTACATTACTGGAGTATATAAACTTATAAGAAATATCAAATGTTCTCTGTTATTATTCTGTAGATTTACTCATTCACTCACTAATTTACTTAATAAACAAGCCAACCTCAGGTTGTAGAAATGGAGGCAGTCTGATACCTGACCCTAAATTCCACTCCATTTAACCTAAACTCAGATTCTACCTCTCATTGATTAAAATGATTAAAAACATCAGCCTCATTAAGAAATTTCTTAATCTTTAAAATTAAGAATTTAGCATAATACCACTGCATCTACAAGTGCTGAGTTAAAGGATAATTGTGTGATGTGTGTGGTACTATCATAGGTGTTCTAGAATGTTAGTTCCTTTCTTCCCAACAAAAACTCTAGGCTATTTTTTCTAGCTTGTTTGACAGTGCTCATAAAGTCTTCTTCCCAAAAACTTGATATTTAAAAAAAAACTGATATTTGGAAGCATGTTCCAGAATTTCTCTACTTTAGTGATTCTCTACCTATTTTCAAATCTGACTCCTAATGTCCCTTGTCTTTCACTATAAATTGGCAGTCAGACTATTCAACCATGAACAGCAGCTGGAAACAGAAAAGGAAGGAGAACTGACACCCTCTCTTCTGGGAGCACTGACATGCAGCTGTGAGGATCCTGAGCCCAGTACCTGAAGCTGCATGAGAGCAATGGCTTCGTCCACTCTCAGCAGTTCATTCCCAATTCAAGGCACACTCTCCTCAACTAATGATTTACACGTCTAAATAGATTTCATCCAGATTAATCCAAGAAATTGGCAAACATCACTTGTTAACTTGCAGGACTTCCATTCAAGAAAATGGAAAGCTATTAGTTTTCAGGTGGTAAATAATGGAAGGCAATAACTGTTTCCTTCACGATTCACAAGTATTGTACACAAAATGCTAGTGGGGGTGGGGCAGCAGGGGTGAGGGGGAGTCATTATTGAATGGATAAACCGAGTCTGCCTGTGCACTCCATTTTTTAAAGAGGGGTACACAAGTAAGTCTTCATATTAAGTGAACATGCTCTGGCAGTCGTGCTGGGTAAGGTCAGCTCCCAGAGCCTGCTCATATTTTATTCACTGGAGGATTTTCTTAAAGCCTCCTGGGACTCAAAGGGTGGTAGCCAATTTAATGTCACAGCAGAACAGATTGGTAGTTACTCATCCAGAGAATCTTTGAGAATTTTTCTATAAATCTTGATAGGGTACAAGCAATTAGTAGTTCCCAAGAGAAATAACCACTCAGAGATCCCCAGTGAAGTGTGGTATGTGGAAGAGGGATAGAGCCTCCTCTGCCTGATGCTACTAAGCACTATGGGTTCGTCCTAAGGTCACCCAAGACCCCAATTAAAAACTGAATCAACAAAACCAAAAATAACTGTCAGTTGGAGTGATAACTAATCCTCAAGATGACAAGTATGGTATCTAGAAATTAGAAACTGCTGCTGAAAGCCCATGAGGAGGCTAAACACTAACCATGAGCCAATCTCTGGTCTTAGTCATTATGCTGGTGACCGCCCTCACCCTGTGTGCTGATGCTTTTTCCAGCAACTAGTCCACGAAGGAGCCAAAGGAATGAATCAGTAATTTTGCTTAAAATCAGATGTCCCAGGTGCATGAAATACCCCTACTGAATGTATTGTAAGAGTATTTCCTATTTTTCTATTGGAACTAGAGAAAGCAAATATCAAAAGGTCTACATTCTCCACTTCTCGTCTAAATCCTCTCAGATCCATAGGACTTTGGCAGGCCCTTCTGTAGATAAGTCAACAAGTCTACTTTTCTGGTGTTGTGTCATTAGTTTTTTCCCATCCTCTGTATCTCATAGGTCCTCTCCTCCAGTAATAATCAGCCTACCATGCAGTGGGAAGTAGTAAGACATCCCTTTTCCCTCAGATAATCTGGTAGTTAAGTGTCCACTCATAAAACAGCACTATGAGCAAAAATGCCAGTGCTCCAGGCTCTGTCAGGGTTGATCTAAGACATCAGAGAATTCTAGCACAATTCTTCATACAGGCCCTGGGCTTTCAATCAGACATGCTCTGTCACTAATCCTCTGAATACGCATCTAATCATTGGTCAGAAATTCCCAACCCAGAGCTATTCTTCATCTTTTCAATTTCTCTAGTATTTATTTGCAGCCATTCTCTCAGGTTTGCAAAAGACATGACAATATTTCCTTACTGCAGTCACTGCAACAAAAGACTCCCATGAAATACTCTATGGGATGAAGAAACATTGCAACTGGTCCCCTTGTAACAATATAGTTAAGTTCTCTACTCAACAAATTGTAAGTAAAAGCATCACTCCACAGAATAAGGTAAATGCGCCAACATCAGAAGTGTCAATAGATGTGACCAGACCCACTCATCCTCCCTGTCCTCCTCCTGTTCAAGGTTTACTCAAACTGTTACCTGTACAGCTGACGGTTGTCTTCAAAATCCTCCTGACCCCATCTTCCTTTGATGTCTTCAATAACATGATTTTTCAGGAATTTTTTCAGCAGCTGGACTGTTTGTTTACGAGTCACCTCAGGGCCAAAGTTTTGACTGCGCCTCAATAGTTCATGCAGCCAATCCACAGCTTCGGCCGCTGTGAAGCAGTGATCATAACTTTTGAATCGACAGCGGTGTTTCCGTAAAGGCATCCTAGTGCGAAAAAGCTCAACAGTTTCATTCCACTGGAGGAGAGAAAAAGAGAAATACATTTAACAATTGGCTGACTTTTTTGAAGTTATGTCCAAAATATTTAAGATAAGTAATATAATTTTTCAATTTAAGACTGCCTTAATAACAGTGAAGCTTTGAAATTTCATTTTATTTTACAACCATAACACTGTAAAGAGAAAGCACTTTTAAAACTGCATTTATTCATTCAAAAATATTTATTATGCTATCAAGTTATCCTCTTACGTGAATACTGGATTTCCACATTAATGGAAAACTAGCATCACATACATAATTCACTTCTTAGAGGCCTATGTTTAATATGACTTCCCCCCATTCAACCAATATTTACTGTTTATTACACTAAAGACATTCCTTGGCAAGAGGGGAAAAGATGCACAAGACAGACTGCCTGGTATCCAAAGCATGTTTAAAAATTCACGGAGTATTTTCCTATTTAAACAAAGACAAGACAGCCTTCATCACCCATCCTTAGATGATATAAAATATTCACATATGGTATTTTTCCTATGAAATTACTTCAACATCTCTCTAGCATCACATACTTCCTGCCAGACCTCCTCAAGTCCTGAAACTCATAACTATTCTCTTCTCTGACTCTTCTCACTCAAATATCTCACTTCACAAACTGAACCTTCCTAATGAAATCATCTTTATTTCTCTCAACTATACCTCTGATGTCAGAGTATTCTTTTTATTTTGCCCAATACTGGCTCCTGGTTTTCCCTTTTAACCAGGCATTTTCTTCCAGGTTGAATTTCATACTCTCTTCTACCCACCACCTCTGCAACTATTGTCTCATTTCTATCCTTGACAGCTAACACTCAGCTTCATTAGTAATTCCTGAATATAAGACACCAAGTCCTTACTAAAGGGGCAGACATGAGGTCTGTGCAAGCATGCACCCTGTACAATGAGCAAATGCCTGACCAGTCTTTCACTTTTCCTACTTTCCTTAAACCATCTTCTAACCTCAGACAATTTTAATTCCCTTTTGGTTTTTCAATTATGCCTTCCTCCTAGTAAAACTTAAACACCTTTTTCCATTATACTGATTAATATTCCTGCTTTATTTGAGACCGTTATGAATAATGTTCCAAATTGCCCAGATTTAAAAGCTTTTTCTTTAACTACCAAACATGTCAACATATATAGACCTATGTTTCCCCTTGTATGTGCATAGTTTTACTCTAGTTGATGCTGTTTGCCTGCTTTATTAAGAAATAAGATCAAGCACAATGTAGATACTATCATACAACATGCTTTTGCACTTAATATACCATGGATATCTTTCTCGGTCATCACCAAGTCCATTCCTATGAATGGTTCATAGCTTATTTGACCATTTTTTCAATAATGGGCATTTTTGTTCAATCATGAAGCTGCTTCAATTTGTTGTTTTACAAATAAATCCTTTTTTAAACAAGTACCAATGTTTTTATTTATTTACTTGTTTCTGACAGATTTCTAAAGAATATCCACATGATCCAATCGCTTGTAACAATTCAACCGCTAACAAAGCCTGGACCTAATGCCAATTCAACCCCTAACAAAGGCTGGACCTAATGCCTTGTGCGCTGGCCTCACGAGGTGCTGTCACTTTCCTTTCTGCAAATCTATTCACAAGAAATGATAGCTCCATGTTTTGTTTGCATTCTTCTGTCATCATCTTGAGTCACTTTCATTTCTTCCTCTGAAATAATGTCATTTTTTATTGGGTTTTTTAATCTCTCTTTTTAAACTACTTTAGGAACTATTTAAATCTAACTACATAGTTATTAGTAAAGTTAGTCTATTTTGCTTAGTTGAATATCCCCATACCTAAGGGCTGTGTCTAACATATAGTATTTGTATTTACTATGTATTGAGTGAATAAATACAGAGTATTAATCCTTTTCCAAATATGTTAGAAATATATTTCCCAGACCAATTTATTTGTGATTTCTTTGTTATTAAAGATAATGTTGTTTTAAGGAAACAGATCCTTTTTTCCTTATGACTTCAGGATTTACTCTCTTAAGAAATTCTCCCCACCCTGAAGTAAAATTATCAAAATTTTCTTTTAGAAAGAAGATCTCTAAACTTTATTTTCTTTCAAATGAAGTTAATTATGCCATCCTTTTCTCACTAAATTGATATGTTAAATTACCTTTCTTGATTCTGTGCTTTTCTATCCCACTGAGCATTTTGTATATTCCTGCGCAATACTATATAATTGTTAAAGCATTTAATTAATATTAAGTTTAAATCTAGCCATAACTCTTGGAGGCTGGCCCAACGGAAAACTTAAAGTTTAGATTTATGGAATTTCTTTAAATGAATTAATCATCCTAGGTGTCCATCAAAGACTGCACAGATGAAAACAAGAATTCCTCCCATGTGTTCATAGACATCGTGGTGATGCAATCTACCACATTGTGCACTGAGTAGAGATGAATGTCTATGAGCCAGACTTGCCTACTTTATGTGCTTTGACCAGCAAGATTTGAACAAGAAGTTACAAGCAAAATCCTTTTGGTTATATTGGAACCATGAGATACCATGTGAATTAACCCTCCAGAAACACTTAACCCAGTAAGTCAGAGCCAAGTCAACGGGCCACCTTAAACCATCCAGTCTTAGGCAAGTCACCAGATGGCAGTGCCATATGAGTGATCCCAACAGAAGAACCAGACACCCAGATTACTGGTCCACAAAATCTTGAGGCAGGGGAGGGAAGGGAAAGTTTGTTTTAAGCCAAATGAAACAATGTCATAGACTCCAAGTTCCTGAAATCATATGTGAAACGTCATGTGTATGTTACATGTACACTTTTCTGTAAAGAGGATAGTCTTATCGGATTCTCAAAGTGGTCTCTGAGTCCACCCCAGCCATGATTACTCCCTCCAGAAGCAGGTCTTCTTAGCTCTGGCTTGACACCCCTCCTCTGAGGCCCAGGCCTTATTGTGACTGGCTCTAGAAAGGAAACTATATTGCCTATTTTCCCACTATCTCAGCTCTTCCACATATAAGCCTAGCTGAATGAGTTGGATCTAAGTCTACATCTTTTGTGACCAGAAGTGGTGACTGATCTCAAGAAGTGAGATTCTCTCCTCCCAAATCACCATTAAACTTAGTGGCCTTAAAGCCTGCCACAGACTACCAAGTCATCACCATTTTTTTCCAGTTTGATAGCTCTTTGAAAAAAAGGATCCTGCTCCAGGTCATAAAGAAGTCGGGCACCCCTCAAATCTCTCGGTACCAAAGCTCTTCTCCCCTCCCAGGAGAAAAGGCAGCACCCTGGACCCTAAGGGCCTTCAAAGGCTCTAGCAGAACATCGACTGGGCCCACCCCTCGGTTAGGTGTGGACAGAAACAAAAACACCTGGTGCCGGAAGCGCAGCCTGGGTGCCCCACCCCTGCTCTGGGCACCGTTAGGAAGAACCTCAGTTACCACAGAGGCGCTCGGGCCGCAGACACGCCCAGCCCAGCCAGCCGCGCGGTAGAGCCTCCCAGAAGCGGGGTGGCCCTGCCTCCCTCTCCCCGCAGCAGGCAGCGGGCTCCGGGGACAAAGACGGGGGGGCCCAACTGGCTTTAAATCCAGAAGCGCCTTTTACTTACTGCTGAAAAGCCAGCCCCCCTCGCCCTCCCTCCACCGGACGGGTCAGGCCCTAAGAGCCTGTTTTTGAGCTCTGTCCGAAACTCCACGCCAGGCCCCGCCCGCCCTAACAGGCCGAGACGACCAGTCCGCAGTCGGCCGGCCAGTGGGGACCGCCGGGCCGCTGGCTTCGCCCAGGGACCCTGCACGCTCACTCACCAGCTTGGTGGCGCGGTAGGGTCCCGGCCCCACGATGCGGTGTTCCATGGCACGCACGCTGCGACGGCAGCGGCCCGGCCGGCTCTGACTCCCGGGAGCCGGCGGCGCGGCAGTTTGAATCGCGAGCCTGAGCGCTGCGGCCTCTGATTGGGCGGCGCGGGACACGTGACGGGAGCCGAAGGGCGGGGCCGCCTAGCACGGGCGAGGTCCCAAAGCGCCGGTTAGGTACCCAGGGACCTGCATCATCTCGGGAGACTGCGGCAGCCTGGGAGTGGGGGACCCACACCGTCCCGCCCTAGCCCCTCGCACGCACGCACCAGGGTGGTGTGGCCTAACTGAGCGGGGCTGCCGGTGCCCGACCTTGAGAAGCGGGCAGGACCCACCGAGGCTGCCCGCGGGCTCCGCACTCATCGAAGGATGGGGGGTCAGTGAACAGGTCCGAGGGGGCTGGATAAACAAGCTGCTCGGCGCCCTCCCGAGTGCGTGCTAAACCTCGATGTGATGCTGGGGGAAACGGGCGGTGAAAGGAATCTAGTGGACAGCAGCTGCAAGCGGAGGGACAGTTAGAGCTAGAGAAGAGCATCTTCCAGAGGGGTCTGTGGGGTGTAAGAACCACCAAGAGCTGGAAAAGAGGCCCGATTCAGCTTCCTGTGTTTTCTGTTGGTTGTTTGATTTCGTAGTCTCTCCCTGGAATTTCAGTTCTGCTTAGGATCAGGCTGAAAATTTCAGTCCTTTGCCATGGGGCTATGTGAGTTTTCTCTGCTGAGAATTGTCCTCCAAGGAATTGCTAGTCTGATTTACAATTATTTACAATTATTTACAATTATTTAAAGCCATGTAAGGGCACTATTTTTGGTCATGCAGGATAGGGACTGAAAAGCGAGTCAGACTCCTATCCTCTTCCCATCTTTATGACTTTCCCACCTCTGTTAGTTGGTTTAGGTTTTCAGCTGTGTGTTGAAAAGCCAAACGTCCTGGGATGATAAGTATGTAGGTTTTTTTTTTTTTTTAGATTTATTTATTTGTGCATACAGAACTGGGGTACAGGCCAGAGGTGCAGGGATGGTGAGAGGCTTTGCCAGAGACAGAGTGGGGACAGAACAGGCCAACTGACAAAGTATACTGCTGAGGGGAGCAGCGGGCGGGTCAGGAGAGGTTTGCTGCAGCCATGTGGGTCAGCTCCTGGCGGTGGGAATCAAACTCATGCTGAAGTGGCTTTAGCTTCTTAGTGCTGTGCTTTAACCCACTGCACCACCAGGGAGGGCCTGTAGTAGTTTTTAATAAGAAAAAGCAATAAAGATAATTTTTACTTCCATTAAATGAACCCTGACAGTTTAGAAAACAAAACAAGGATCTTAATGTAAAAGTTTCAACTGAATCTAAAATTGAAGTAGAAAGGAGATCTTAGGGTTTTTCCTGTGGCTTTCCATGCCTGAACAAACCACAATTATCTCTCTCTCCACAGGTAACCCCAGTTGAATAAGTGAAACAGGGACTGCCCCTTTCTCCCACCCCACTCCCACCCCATACAGACACAAACACACACTCCACTTGCGTGACTGGGTTCATTAAAAATTATACAATCTACATTTTCCCTTTCAATGATCCAGGCACAAAAGAAGGACAACTTCTTGCCCTGCCTGGTAGCTATCGGGGTGGGCATGGGGGAAGGAGTGGGGGGTGGTTCACAGTACACACAAATACTAGTTTGTTTTTTTGGACTGAAGGATTCATGACTATTATAATTGAATATTTATTTCTGACTTGTCTGCTAGGCACTTAGAGCTAAATTTGTAACCAATTGCTAACTAGAATACAGTCATTAACTATTTTATTTTTCTAACTCTACTTTCCACTTACCCTCTAATGTTATATAAATGAATCCTAAACTGCCTCAGTTTCTTTTTGGAAAGAAGCACCCATTTCTTATAAGAAATAAATTACAGTCCTTGCATTTGTCAAGCAGCTTTTAAAGCTTTTTCACATTTTCTCAGTTGATCCTCAGAATTATTTGTACATGTAAATAAGAATAACTCCATTTACTCTGAGGAAGCTAAGTTTCAGAATGGTTAAGTGACTTCCTTAGCAGAGAAGTTAAGTGTTCTGCAGTAGAAATTAACAGAATTTTAACATTAAACCTTGAACCTAGATTATTTGCCACCAAAACCTGTGGAGTTAAGTTTTAGTTACTTGATGAGATGGTTGTAACATTCAAGAGTCCAAAAGGATAGTTCTCAAATATAAAGTAGAATTTTGCTTTTGTATTTGAACAAAGACACATTACAGTCAGGTCTCACTGTCTGTAAATAGGAAGGTGCTTAGGGCAGGGGTTGCTTCCTGCAGGGCATGATATTGCCCAGGGAATTTCTAACTTCTGGTGGCAGCAGGTAGATCACAAACAAACACAGGAGCCAGGGAGTCAAAGCCAGTCAGCGGTCAACAGCACTAAGCCAGAATAGGATGAAATGAGACTGTAAAGCAAAAGCAGTTGGGGAAAAGGGAGGGTCTGTGAGCTGGGGTTAGGGTACTGTGTCTGAATGTGTTGGGCTATCTTGAAGGACTAACAAAGGCAACAATGGCTATTGTGCCAGTCTACTGCATTGCTGCCCTTTTTTTCTTTTAGTAACTGAAGTTACTAAAGAAGTTACTAGAGCCAAGTAACTGAAACTGGCTTGAAAATAAAACAAAATCCTATTAAGCTATTTTTAAAGCCCTCACTGATAATTACTTGATATTTTATAGTTTTGTTAGGCTTAAACAGATTTTCTTCCTTTCTTTTTTTTATTGGATTATAATATAGAGAGAGAAAAACACACCTGTTATCTATGTGCGGTTTGTTGATTTCAGCAAATTAAACACATCTTTATAACTGTTTCAGAGAACTATTATTAGAGTGTAACCTCCAGAAAGAGTCCATGTTCCTGTAATCAACCCAAAGGCCCAAAAGTAGATGACTGAGTTAAAAAGATGTGGTACATATACACAATGGAATATTACTCAGTGATCAGAAAAGATAAACACATGCCTTTTGCAGCAACATGGATGGAGCTGGAAAAGATCACACTTAGAGAAATAAGCCAGAAAGAAAAGGAAAAATACCGATGGTTTCACTCATAGCAGGAGTATAAAGGACCGGTGTTGGGAAGGGGTGGGGGGGAATAATAATAAACAACTATATACCAGAGACATTTTACATGGGTGGAGTGGGGAATGGGATCAAAAACGGGGGGTGGGGGAGGGAAGTGCACTGGACTGTGGTGATGGCACACAGGTGATTTGGTGATGGGAAGCCCACAGTGATTACAACTGGGATGGAAAAAGGCACAAAATGATGTAAAAATAAACTATTATATTAAAAAAAAAGATTCCATATTCCCTGTCCCACTGAATGGTGGAGCTGAGGGGGTGGGAGAAACTGAAGGAGACAAGAAGACCTGAAGGAGGCAGGTAGAGCAGAAAGATGTGTAGAAAGTCACATTTTCCTCTCAGTTTGGGAGCTGTACCAGGTATTTGTTCATGAAGGGACTTGAAGGGAGACACATGGAGTCAAGACATGTAGAGATACTTGAAAGAGATATGGGGAGGCTGGCAATGGCAACCTGGAATGTGGCCTGACTTTGATTTTGCTCCTTTTGTCCCAGAGTTGTCTAGTCCCTCCGCTCCTTTCCTATAACCCCTCTCCACAAGGTGCCTTAGACTTGTGACAGGCTTTTGGAACTCAATAACCCCACTTTATGCCATCTCTGTTTGTCTGGACTTTTACCTGGGGATGGTGGCTTTGGGTGTTTTATTGGGAAATGATGATCCTTTCTTCTTGTTCCATGAACACTATCGTTTTCAGTTTCTTTCACATTAAGAAGAGTATGCTTGTCTTTATGTAGTAGATGGCAGAACCCACTTAGGCTGTGCAGGCAGGGTACCTATCTGTTCTATACACAAACAGAATCAGCCCTTGAATCAAAAAGATTTACCAGGACTGAGCAGACACTTTCATATCCCTTCTAGTCTTCTCCCTGACCCCCAGGATAACTGACACAGATCTTTTACTATGTGAGAAAGAATTTACCCCAGACCAAAGAGGGGGAGCCGACTCACAAATTACCAGTTTAGTTCAACTACATTGTAACCCACAAACCAACTTTGATAAATGGAGGAGGAGAGAATGGATTTTTTTTTTTTTTTACTGGCCAAAACATAGCATTTGTTTTCAAGCTTGACTGGATAATGTCTTTGTGGATTTACCCTTTCACTTAAAATTGAAGAGAGACTTTCTAGAAATTCAAACCTGTTTGACTGCATTTTCTTATCTAGCTTTCTCTGAAAAGTCTCTGATTGGATTGTTCTAGGAATTAACCACAAGGTAGTGCTTAATTTCAGCTACAATGAGGAATTAAGAGGGAGAGTGGCTCAGAGCTCACTATGAAGTGGCCCTCAGCCTCTCTGCATACCAGACATCCTGGAGGCTTTTATTTAAAAAACAGATGCCAATGAGAGCCCCAAAGTAAACCACACATACTTGGACAACTGATTTACAACAAAGGAGCCAAAAACATACAATAGAGAAAGGATAGTCTTTAGTAAATGACGCTGGGAAGAATGAACAGCCACATGCAAAAGAAGGAAATTAGACCGCTATCACAACACACTCCTAAAAATTAATTCAAAATGAATTAAAGACATGAATGCAAGACCTGAAATGTATTATCAATAGATAGAAGACATAGACAGTAAGATCCTTGACATCTTTGTGGATTTAGCGCCAATGGACAAGGAAATAAAGCAAAAATAAACTACAACTAAAAAGCATTCTACAGCAAAAGAAACCCTCATCAAAACAAAAATGTAATCTATTGACACTTAGAAGACATTTGCAATTCATATATCTGTCAAGAACTTAGTAAACAAAAATACATTATTCATGTAACTGAACAATTTAAAAAATGAGATTAAAAATAGGTAGAGAATTTGAACATTTGAAAAAGATTCATTTTATTTATGCATACTGAACTGGGGTATAAGCCAGAGGTGCAGGAACAGTAAGGGGATTCACCAGAGACAGAGTGGGGTGCAGAACAGACAGATTGATGAAGTACACTGCTGAGGGGAGTAGCTGGT